GGGGGGGGTTAGCCCATGCATGTCGGTCTGGCTCGTCTGACTAGAACTCTAAATTGGGTCTTGGAGGACGTCTGACCAGCTGGGATGCGTCGCCTAGTCACACGGCGCATGTCAACCGTTTCCCCCCCTGGCGCCCTGTTCACTTCGACGCCCTGTCCACTGTCTGCTCTCTGCTCTGCATGTGCGCGACTTGCGCTACGCACTTTGACTTGCAGTATGTGTGGAGGAGGTGCCAGAAAAGAAAGCGGCCGCGCCGCCGTGTGGGGATGGCATGGCGGCGCCGAGCGATGAGAGCGCGGACGGACGGACGGACGGACGGACGGACGGACTGGCTGACGGACGGACGACCGGGCGGCTATGGTGTCAACATGTCAGTCCGGTGCACCGGTGCAGGCGGGGCGGGGCGGGGCGAGGCGGACCCCTCTCCCACGCGAACGCCCCGCCCCGCCCAGTGAAAGTGCCCGCCCCGCCCGGCGCGCTGCGTTCACTTTACCTATTACTTCACACAGTCGCGGCCGAGTCGCGTCCGGGCCGCGAATATCATGATGCCGGCTGGAGTGGATTTTTCCCGCTGCCCAACGCTGGGAAGTTTTCGGCGTTTAGTCAAAGTCCGACCGTCCGTCCCCGCCTGCCGCCGCCGCCCCGCGCCCCTTTACCCGCACAGCTGAGGGGCGGCGGCAGCTGCCTTATTTTTGGCGCGCGTCGCCCTCGTGCCCCACACTGCTGCACCTGTGGCCCGCCACGCCCCACCTCTGCTGTGCAGCATCTACGAAATGAATGTTGTTGTTTTCCTGAATTCGAATGCAAATGTGCGCGCTCCTTTGTGCCGCAGCTCTGAGCTGGGCTGCTGCTGGCCGCGGTCCAGGGCCTCCTCGCTGGCTGGCAACAACCCTTCGCTCTGCTCTGCTCCCCGCTTGCCCCTTGTTGTTGGACACTTTTGGACCCCCCTAACTTTCAACTTATGCCCCCCCATCATTTTTCATAGTCGATCGTTCACTCTGTGTGGAACAAAGAATGGGATTTATTTCCTTGTCTCGCCCATTGACGGCTGCATGTGTGAGAGGCCCCTATATTGCGCACACCACCGCACGCCCTCATCAGGACCCGACCGACGGGCGGACCGCGTCACTGATTGCCACACTGTTAAAAATACATAAGGAACTGATGGCGGTTTTATTATCCCTCGCTTCGATAATACGCACTTACGCCCGCGCCGTTGCGCCTTGCGCTCTAGTTTTTTTTTGTTGTTGTTTTTTTTAAATTTATTTATTTTGAGCATTATCCTTTTGCCGCGCCCGGATGTTTAGGCAAAAGTTACGAGCCTGATAGTGCTGGAGGAGACGTGGCCGCCGCCGCCCGGGGGCCTGGGGCCGGGCCCCATGGGCCCCGTAGGCCCCGTAGGCTGGGCCGGGACCTCTTCAGTTGTTTGTAGGTCAGGCGGCGAGCCTAAGGGGGGCCGAGGACCCGGCCGAGGAGGTGCCGCACGTACCGACCCGGGGTACGGACCAGACGGGTACCGTTGAGTGCGAGGGGTGCCCAACTCG